CCGATATTTATATCAACCGATGTACGCGGATGAGATCTTGCCCTGAGGTGTGAGACTCAATCAGGGGGGATAAATTACATACCCACTGACCATGGCGGCTAACATCAAAGACGTGTCAACACCTCAGAGGCCATTGTATGCCCGGGCCAGCCTGCGACTGAGTGAACCAAGTTTGAAATCTTTGATTGTGACGTTGTTGTTGTTTGTTTTGACAGTATGGCTATGGAGAGGAAGGTGTTACCGGGAGTCCCTGTATCGCTGATGATGACATTGTTGTGTTGTTTTGATAGCTTGTCGTGGAGGGCAAGGTGGGGAACTCTAAGTTCTGGCCCGTCTTTGTTTATTGTTTAGTTGTTTTGGGGAAAGATTTAAGACTTGCAGGCTGGAAAATGCTTCTATGGATATTCATTGTGTACTGAAAAATCCGACAGAAAACATTTAACAATGACGTTAGTTATATTAATGTAAGTTGGGTTGCTGGGTTTTGTTAATATATTATTTTATTTGGCATTGTGCAGGTCACCGAGAGCAACGAGAAATGTGAAATCTCTGATTGTTCAAGAAAAAGATATGCTGCTAGAACCTCCGTGCAACTTTTGCTTCGTTACCTTAAAACGCTCTCTCGCTATTCTTTTTTTATCAATGCCTTTGAAATTATGCTTAGATTTTAATTTTTTTAAATTTTCTCTGAACGTTTCCGTTGTCTCTAACAGTAACAAGATCTTGAGACCGTTGCTCACTGATGACTTGAAATACAGAGCAAGGAAATAGATTTGGAAAACATTACGCCTTTGAAAAATTGAAACTAGTCTAAGGTATTCAGTCAAGTGTAAACAAAGCCACCATCGCCCATTGTGTACCCGGTCTAGCTGGTCAGGGAGTGACCAAGTGAACAATATGTGATGATGACATTGTTGTGTTGTGTGGACAGTTTGTTGTGGAGGGGAAGGAGAGAGCCTGTGAGTCCTGGCCTGTCTTTGTTTATTGTTGGTTTTGGGAGACGTGGGAGGCTTGTTGGTTAGAGGGGGAGGTTAGGAAATATTAATTCATCTATTGTGTATTGAGATGAAGCTGGGGTAGAATTGAACAACGGCCTATTGTATAGCAGTCTTTTGGTCTAAATGCTTTCTTTTAAATCTGATTTGAATATTCAGCACAATGAAGGTTACTGACAGAAAGGAAAAATGTAACCTCAGCAGAAGTAACAGACGGCTGGAACCTCCAAACAAGAAACTTTTCCTTTTACGCCCTCGCACTATGTTTGCCATTCTTTCTATGACTGATCTTTTTTTATTAACTTATTTTCAAAGTTTGCCTCCTTAGTTGTGTCTTTTTTGGAGGGTAAGTGTTTTACGCCGCTCGCAACTGCATTAGGCCATATGATCGCACGGGACACGTTAAACTTTTTCAGTTGGTAGAAAATTTGGAATTTTGCCTTGTCGGCGGCCGAAGCCTACTCTTATCGATTTTAGACGACCAAGGGATCTTTAACGTGCACAAATTGCACACGGACCCTCCGAGATTTTTCGCCCTTGTCCGAGAAGGCTAGGTGTAGATCTTCCATGCCAGAAGGTCAGGGATGTGGCTGAAAGACAGCAGTAAGAAGGAGCCAAGGAGTAGCAGTAGAAAAGCTGCAGAGAGAGTCAGTAGCCCAGAGGAGGGGGCAAAGGAGGTCAGAGGGGGGGGGGAGCAGAAAGAGGAGACAAAAGCAGACGACAGAACATTGCAAGAAAGCAGAAAAGGAGATGAAAGGAGACAATTTTAGAGAAGAAAATTATTCGGTCGCTACCCGGATTCCAACCCGCGACCTATGAATGAGAAGAGAACACCCTAGCCTCTAGGCCATGAGTGCCCTCCTTAATTGTGTCTGTTTCTCTGGCAGAAACACGGTTTGTATTAAGACCATAGCCCATTGATGACTTGTAGCGAAAGACAAGTTGTGACAAAGGCGTGATCATTTCACCAGGAAATAAATTAAAATTGTCAGTAGAAATCAAAAGATAAAGTCTGTGCCTGAGCATCTTTCTCTTTGTGCATAATAGTATAATAAAGGATTTGACTAGGCTCATCTGTACTTATGTCCACCATAAACAAAGCCACCATCGCCCATTGTGTACCCGGTCTAGCTGGTCAGGGAGTGACCAAGTGAACAATCTGTGATGACATTGTTGTGTTGTGTGGACAGTTTGTTGTGGAGGGGAAGGAGAGAGCCTGTGAGTCCTGGTCTGTCTTTGTTTATTGTTGGTTGTCGGAGACACACGAGGCTTGTCGGCTAAAGGGTGAGAGTCGGAAAATATAGGAACATCAATTATGTATTAAAACCCCATCAATGGTACGTTTAATTCAAAGTCAGAAAAATCAAGCCGTCGGTGTGATTGGGCACTGCTGTTGCGAAGACATTCAACGTCAGCAGAAGGACTATCAGCCAACTGAGATGACGCCACCTTGTGACTTGGTCTCTATTCAAAACCGACCCAGAATGCGGCTGTCTAAGGGTAACAATGCCATTTTTAGACCGATATATCTGGACAGTGCAAAAGAGAATTCATGTCAGGACAACTGCTCAAAACGCAAGACAATTTATGAGGCAGCGTGGAGCAATCAGGCTCTCGTCAAAATATTTAAAGTGAAGAAACTTGCATTTTTCTGCTGGTTTGTGAATTTTTATCAATTTTTTGTTTTTTGGCTCAACACCTTTCATGCCCATTAAAGAACTCATTTCTGTGTGGATTTTTCGGAAAAACGTTGATTAAAGGCACAAAAAATGTAAATTTTCAGTTACCACGAACTCTTAAGGACTGGTGGGGCACCTGAGGTCTATTTTGGCTATTACAAGGCCTAGAGTGCCCATATTTGCTGTGGGACATCGTGTGTTATTGGGGATTTTAAATCAGTAGTTCAAAAAGTACATTGTGAATTGGTTGCTATGGAAACGGCGGCCATATTGGATTTTGTATACCTTTTTCTATCCCATTTTATTCCCTTATTTATAAACCGATTTACTTCTAATTTGGCATGCTAACAGTAAATATGTAGTTCTTAAATTGTTGAATTTTTGATATATGATTTAGTTTTTATTTTATGACACTTACAATTGGTATGTTGCAAAAAAAGTGAAAAAAATGGAAAATTCATGCTTACTAAGCCCATAAATCAAAAACTACCCCATTAATCAAAAATTCAACAAGCCAAAATTTAGAAATAGGTGTTGTTGGTATCCTGTGAAAGTTCCATTGAAATTGAACCATAAAAGAACAGAGCAGAAAAATGGGATAATGCGTGAAAAAATAGAATTGTGAGAAAACAGCCGATACAGGTAAGAAAAGGCTAGAAAACATGTGCTTTCGAAGAAAAACCTGACAACAAAACACAACTTTAGGGTGTAGCAAGGCTTATATACGTTTCTGGATATTGTTCAGGAAATGTCCAGGTACTATAATATGTAATAACCCCAATTGCAAAATTTTACCCCAAGACACGATTTCTAGGTGCCCCACCAGCCCTTAAGCTAAGGAAATAACTAATCTTAGGCGGCCATTTTCTCACAAATTTTACCTCTGAAAACGGATGACCCCCACCTCCTTCATACTTTTCGTCGCAGACTGTGGCAATTCAAGACGGAAGCTAGGATGTCTGCATGAAGACTGTGTTAATAGCAAAAACACGATCACGCTAAGATGACCTGGTCACAGCAGACACCGCCGATGTATGTAGAACACCGTCACCTTCTCGGACGATTCTCAATTACAAGTTGAACGGATTGAACTTGAATGCCATAATGGGAGTATAAAATTGTATGTACAGGAGACCACATTAGCACTATCTGTTATTTCTTCAACATCACACTCAAGCTGTGACATCCCAACAAGACAATGCACCCGCACATCGTGCACTCCGCTCGGAATTATGTTCTTAAAAATCCAGAATAACCGCGCTGCAATGGATCTACGACCTGCCATTTCACCAGATTTTAACCCAATTGAGCACCTGTGGGACAGAATTAACTGTGTTGCTCGTGACGTGAATCCCGTTCCCAGAACTATTTTGCAACTGCAGCAAGCCCTTCTCACTGATGCCTGAAACAACATTTTGCAGGAAAACTTGTAGATGAACTCTATGTGCCGGAGATGCACTGACTGGTGTGCTGAATGCATACGGTGTACTGATGTGTGACTTTTTGATTTTACCCCTGTCGTCAAATTTCAGTCATAAAAGCAACAAAAAAAAGAGACGTTTTGGCTTTAAAATAATAATCCTTTCAGTTTCACCTTGATTTATCTGCGAAATAATATTTCATATTTCAAGTCTGTGGTCGAAAGAGTTGGGGGTTTTTTCAACAATATTGAGGAACCGATCAAATATAGAGTTTATGAGGTGGTACCGTTTCTTAATCACCAATATTGTAGTATTATTGCTTTATCCACCTATGCAGGCCTGGATCTCTCTCTTTCTCCCTCTCTCTCTCTATCCCTCTCTCTCTCTCTCTCTCTCTCTCTCTCTCTCTCTCTCTCTCTCTCTCTCACTCACACACACACACACACACACACACACACACACACACACACACACACACACACACACACACACACACAAAGTTACTAATGTTGAGCAAATCCCAAGGAACAAAAGAAAACAAACGGAAAAAAAAATTATTTACAAAAAAAGAAGACACGTGTGCTCGGTGCTCTCTGGTAGCTTAGCAAAGTATTCAAATTTAAAAATGGCTTGATACTTTGGTGGAGGAAAGATTTCGAGAGACATATCTTTGTGCTGAGAACCAACGGTACTAAGTGAAGTGAATAGTACCGTGTTTTTCTTTTTAAACAAGAAATAAGAACGTTGATTTTCATTTAAATCGAAGAAAAAGCATCAGCAGTAAATATTTCAGAGAGTCATGAGTTCTTCCAAATTGGATATACTAGAGAAAACAAGAAGGACGGTCTATGCTTGATCTTTAAGCAAGATTTTGGTCTTCCAACGGTGTTAAACGGTCTTCCAACATGGTTAAACGGTCTTCCAACATGGTTAAACGGTCTTCCAACATGGTTAAACGGTCTTCCAACATGGTTAAACGGTCTTCCAACAGTGTTAAAGGGTCTTCCAACATGGCGAGAGGGGAGGTATTTAAGGGGTCTTCCAACACGGTTAAAGGTTCTTCCAACACGGTTAAAGAGTTTTCCAACACGGTTAAAGGGTCTTCCAACACGGTTAAAGGGTCTTCCAACACGGTTAAAGGGTAGGTTAATAAGGTACCGGGGCTTTTTCTTTGATGCGGTAACCTTTGACCTCGTGGTGGTCGCCTGGGGTGGACTTTACCTTGTCTGCCTGGTGTCTGGATGATGTGGCTGTTGGGGCTAATGATCTGCCACTTCACCCCTTTTCTACTAAACATTACAACACAAACATAATAATAATAATGGATAGCACTTATATAGTGCAAATTCCCACTCAACAGCAAGCTCTATGCGCTTCACAATCTATACTATTACCCCAGCATCCCTGAGAGCATTCTGAAACAACCTCAACTTCCTGGGAAGCATACTGTGCAAGCAGCCATTTATAGACGGTAAAACACTAACATACTGAAAAGACCTTTCGCAATCTATAGCCGGGTACCCATCCCCACCAGGGTGCATGGTGAAGTGAGGAAAATTAGTGTAAAGTGTCTTTCCCAAGGACACAACATCGGGCCCGCGGCTCGAACCTCCGAACTCGCAACCTCACGATTACGAGTCCGGTAGCTTAACCGCTAGACCACCGACGCCACCAAAATTAAACAGAGTCTGTTTCCTTTCATTTTGTTTTATCCTTTTTTAACAGTCGTTTTTGTTGGTGGTTGTTTTTTCTTCAGTTGTTCATGTTGTTGCAGTTTCTACAAAAAGGAAGCAGCCAATATAAGGCGTGTTGACAAGTTATTTCTCGCAATCCATGAATGGAGAAGTCGGTTGAAAATGGACGCATCCAATTTGTAGATTTTCATCTAAAGCCATTTTCCTCAAGTTAAACATTTTTAAAAATCGTTTCATGAAATAAATTGTACACACTTTACTATATAGTATAAATATAATGTATGTATTGTGTCCATGGGGTTAAAATCCAAGAATTCACTCATTAAGCCACCACACCTTAAAAATTGCAATTTCTTTTCTTGATTATTTTTATTTGTAAGTGTTTTACGGCGCACGCAGCTTCACACGGTCATATGAGTGCGCGCGACACATGAAACTTTGTCAGTTGGTAGGAAATTTTGAATTTTGCCCCGGGTGGCAGCCGAAGCCTACTCTTGTCGATTTTAGACCGCCAAGGGTTCTTTAGCGTGCGCAACTTGCACACGGGCCCTCAGAGATTTTTCGCCCTTGTCCAAGAAGGCTAGGGATGGATCTTTCCTACCAGAACATCAGGGATGTGACTGAAAGACAGCAATGAGAAGGAGCCTAGGAGTAGCAGTAGAAAGGCTGCAGAAAGAGTCGGGAGCCCAGAGGAGGGGGCAAAGCCTCTCATTCAAAGGTCCCGGGTTCGAATCCGGGTAGCGACCGAAAAAATTTATCCTCTAAACTTGTCTCCTTTCACCTCCTTTCCTGCTCTCTAGCAATGCTCTGTTGTCTGCTTTCGTCTCCTCTTTCTGCCCCCATCCCCTCACCTCCTTTGCCCCCTCCTCTGGGCTCCTGACTCTTTCTGCAGCCTTTCTACTGCTACTCCTTCGCTTCTTCTTACTGCCGTCTTTCAGCCACACCCCTGATCTTCTGGTAGGAAAGATCTACACCTAGCCTTCTCAGACAAGGGCGAAAAATCTCGGAGGGCCCGTGTGCAAGTTGCGCACGTTAAAGATCCCTTGGTGGTCTAAAATCGATAAGAATAGGCTTCGGCCGCCACCTGGGCAAAATTCAAAATTTCCTACCAACTGAAAATATTAGGTGTGTTCCCCGCGCGCTCATATGACCTTATGCAGTTGCGAGCGCCGTAAAACACTTTACAAAAACAAACAAAAAACGAACGAAAAAGAACATTGAAAAAAAAGGAAGGTTTCAATCTGGACTTACCTATCCAGAGTTCATTCAGTTTCACACATCCTGTATCGCGTTTCCACCCACCCCCTCTCATCCCTATCGTAGGCTAACCCTCGCCCACCCTCTTGGCTTTGGGGCCCATAGTAGGAGGTACACAAGATCTAGCAATACAATGTGTTGGGAATCGAGGATGGGCCTTGTGCTTCGCGTGAGAAGGAGAGAAAGGAGAAAAATTCTTCCCTTGTGGGGCCGCTAATTGCTTTTATTTGGTTATCGCGACCTCGTTGAAAGCGACCTCGGTTTGTTTGCAACCTCGTTGGAGCCGACGTACATTTACAAAGAGATATAGAGGAAAAAATCGGGGATTTAGGATTGTCTCATTGGAGCCGACTTCTCGTTGAATGTGACATCGTTGAATGCGGCACCACTGTATTGTGGTAGGGTGGCCAGTTTACTTCCCAAACTGAAAGTCAGGTACCCATTACTGCTGGGTGGGCAGGAGGGGTCGGAAAAAATCCGTGTCCAAACCGAGATTCGAACCCGGACTTTCCTCTTCGGAGACGAGCGCACTAACCGCTCCGCCAGCGCACTGTCATCCTGTGAATATAATTATGATTTGAAAAAAAGGTATTATGGAAGTATCCCACACAAACCTAGAAGGCTGGGATATGCGTCGGATTAAGGGTGCGTGTGTACTGTATAATGAGTCTCTTGTGGCCCAGAGGTTAAGATGTTCGCCTCTCATTCAAAGGCCGTGTGGATACGATAGTAAAAACACGACGTACGGATAGGGTTAAAGAACCTTTCAAAAACACGTCCGCGATATACAGCAGTCTTGAAGCTGTTATGAAAGGAATAAATGGCTGTGTTGTGAACGGCAATAGGTTTTGTGAACTTTATAACATTGTGCACCGGGCAGTATTGCATACAGACGTATCTCAAATGCCGCCGAAAATGACTTACGTTTGTATGCAATACTGCCTATTAATGCTTGTCAAATTTGACAAAGCAATCAACAGCGTGCACTGAAGCGCAAAATCGACACGATCTGACCCGATTCGATCTGCGATGGGCACCCCGGTTTTACCATCACTAGACTGTCGACGTCACGGCTGAACTCATTTCACCGCCAACATCCGGGCAACAGCGCACAGGGCGGAGATGGCCGACACACAGAGGCCGGTGATGCGAGAGACGGTACGTATTGCTAGTGTAATCACGAGTCGCCATCAATATTGTATTGTATTGAGGTACGACAAAAGGCGAGACTTTGACGTCAAAGGGTTGTGTGTGTGTGT